TGCTTCATGGCTGGAAATCCTGGAAGGGTACATTGGGTGCATTGTAAGAAAGGTATCACAATCTTCAGAAAAGGCTAATAGTGCAGGACAGAGACCATGATTTATTATTAGGATCTGATTTTTCAAAGCTCCAAGTGTTGGCTGAGCATTTCTCCTGTCAAATTCAACACCACATTCTGCACTGATTTAAGTGGGAACATAATTAAATAATTTTGAAAATGCCTGGACAATATCATGGCATGGACATGGTGTGGTGGGAGTACAGTTTTTATTCTTTCATATAACCAGGCATGCACATCATGAAGTAGTAATAAAAAACGCAGAAACGCAAGAGGAAATGCAACACCTTCCAATCACTTCCAGCTTCCTCTGATAAATTCCTACTGGAAAATATTACCTCCTATGCCTTCCTTTCACCAGAGAGAGTGAACAAATCTCAGAAATGCATTTCACCTTTCACCCCACACCTGCTTGCTGTTCATCCATCTGTCTGCTGACCTGTCAGGATCGCTTGGACATGAAGGGCCCCACACCAATGGGTGAATGCTGACTGAACCCACCACTGATGCTCTGTGGTCCAACTTGATAAGCAGCCCCCAGCTGGGCCCCACATACCACTGAGATACCAGTGGGTTCAGTGAGGCCAGACAGCCCCTCAACCCACCACCTGCAAAGATTTCAGGTTTCTTGAAACATTCTCCACTTTCAGAATCTATAATGTAAACAAAATCATGATACATTTCTTTGCATATACTTTTAAACAAAAGAAAAAGTGTTACAGCTGTCATTAGTGGGCCTTGGATAATACAAAAATGTGGGCTAATGAGCTCCACTTCTTCCCTAATAAAATCAACTCAAACATAGGTTTGTAAATTTATGACACTGTGAATGACTGGTGGATGATTTACAGCATGCAACTTTAGGGTCTGTTTTTGTAAATGTTCTATGCAAAACCAATAAACAATGGCTTCATGAAGAGCTAAAATTTAAGGCTCTTGTCGCTCAATTATAACATTCAAAAGTGAAACTTTCACAAGTTGCTACTGCTAACAGAATGTATAAAAAAGGTTAGGCAGAAATGCACACAACATGGAGGGCTGTGCCCCGGGACAACTGTTGCTGGTAGCAAAACCAAGAAGTACCACTGCCATGGCCAAAGTACCTGTTGAATGTCTTCCCAGCTTCAACATCCGCAGGGCTCTGAGCAGTCTCAGCACTTGGACAATGCGTCCCACGTTCTCTAGTTCTTGGGAACTCTCCCCACCACACAGGCTCTCCACCAGCAAGGTGATGTAGAAAGGCAAAATAGCAAGGAGATCTATGATGTTGGCCACACTCCTTAGGAAGCGACATCGATCTCGTGCACACAGGAACCTCAGAACAAACTCCACTGTGAACCATGCAATGCACAGGTACTCTAGGGCATCCAGTAGCGGTGGTGCCAGCCAGCTGAGCTCTACCGAAATCAAAGCCATATTGGCAATGGAAACAACAACAAAAGCCATGGACAAAGTGCCAAAAGTCCTGGCTGCTGCAGAGGAACCAGGCTTTTCCAAAACTTCCCAAAGTTTCTGTCTGACATTGGGACAGATACTACCAGAAAAGTCCTCTTCTTCATCTTGGGCATCCAGTTCTTCTGCATCTTTCTTGATGTCTAAGGCTTCACTCAGCTCTTTTCTCCTGAAGTACCTGCACAGGAACCAACACCCCCCCACCCCCACCCAAGAGATTTTTAATACTAATACGCATATGCTTTTCTTATCCTCTACTATGCAAGTCATACAAATACACATTAAAGTATACCTTATGTGAGCTCAGAATATCCCAATGTCAAGCAATGGTCGAAGATTTTATTAATTGAGACCCTGCAGCCTGTTGCTGTTGACCTGAGATACTTCTGTTCCCAAATTTCACTTCAGTGAGACTATGTATAGAGTAAATTTATTCTGATAGTGTTTTTAGATGGACCATGTTGAATTCAGTGGTATCTGCTGCACAACTAACATACTTTCTTGAAAGTAATCCTGACACAACCAGACCCTCTGTTTCTAAATACTTCTCAATTTGATTAATTATATTGCTTTTTTAATTATACCTGTGTGTATTTGCAATACTAAAACTGAAGGCATAATAACAGTCATGCAGTTCATGGACAAAATTCTGATTAATACACACTCAGATGACAAGGTATCTTTCTGTCTTGAAATATATGGGTCCTCACACAAAGTGCACAAGCATTTGTGATGAGCTACAGACTGTAAATACATAGTAGAGTGTTTTGTCAGAGCAAGAATATATTTACAGAAAAATTTCATGAAAACAAAAACATATCCAAAGTACACTAAAAGACGTATCTTTTTCTTCCATATCTGTACTTCTTGACTGCTGCAAAGCTCAAGTCTTAGACAAAGAGGTTATGCAGTTTTGCCTTCATTTGATACACAATTAGCACTGCATGCGCTGAAAAGGTCTGTAGCTCCTTAAATCACCAAAGTAGGAGCTTTCACTTCCACCTACCAGGGAAGGAAGAAATGGATGAAAACTAGGCTCCAGCCCTCTCAGATGCAGAGCTGAGCCATGCTGGGGTTGGGTAACTCTAGTATACCTTTGGGCTGGGATTGCATGTTTGTTTCAGTCTAATAATTTTGATGTAACCCCTTTAGATAAATAGCAGTCCCACCCTTTAGAAAATTCATGTATTCAACACTAAAACCCAAACCAGTAACATTAAAAATGGTGGGAAAAATTAAAATTAACTGCAAATAGAATTAACAGAAACACCCTGGGGGTGGTTCAGTCAAAACCCACCTCGTTCCTAAACTGCCTGTTACAATTTGTCTCCAGCGAGCTATGTTCCCGCTGTTGCTGCCCCCTCCCTGTAAGCTGCTACATCCACGTGTGATGCTTCCTATCATGGCTCCTCCTGGAGCCATGCCACCCACACTCAGCCTGGCAGGTGACCAACACCCCCTTCTGCCTCTCCAGATTCGATTTGGAAATCCTTCAAAATGACAAGTGTGGGGTAGGGAGGATCCAAACCCTCCCAGCATCATGCCTGACTCCACATCCAATCCCTCTAACTATGATAACCACAAACCGAGTGACTGAAGAAGCATCTCTCCTTTCACAACCTTTTTTTTGTCTCCGGCATTGTCCTCTTCAAACATTTTGAGCTTCCAGGGCCAGTCTGAAGCCAGTATAGGACAACCCAGACCTGTTAGGTTTTCACTATCTTGACCTCACCCAACATCTCCTCCCATTTCTGACATCTCTTCATCTTTAGAGCAGAACTTGGGGCTGAACTCACCTAGCTTTGAGTACACTTTTTGAATGCTCTGCTACCTCACCTATCCCCACTGCAGGATCTCTCACCTGAGTGTCCCTGAATGCAAATCAATGCTCAGCTCACCCAGCCCATTATCCCACACAACTTATCTTGCAACAACTCACCGGTCTCAGGAATCAATGCTGAGCTCATCCAAACCCCAATACTGGATCTCTTGCAGGAAGGAGAGTGCACAAAGCTGCTCCATCACATGCAGCCTCCCTGTCTGGTAGTAATTCAGGATGTAGTGAAATGCCTGTGAGCTCCGGTCAAAGAAGTACTCATTCTCCACAAGGTTGGCATCATCGCAGAGCTCAAGGAGGCCAGAGGCCACATCCCGGGCAGCAGAGACCACTACGGCCAGTTTGCCAAGCCGGGTGTCAGGGTAGCATGACAAAGTTTGCTGGGACATCACGAAGCGGCTGCCTCCTACATTGATAGTAAAGCAGTCCAAGGGGGGAACGACCTTCTGCAGCAGGGGCCCCTGCTCTTCCTCGCTGGAGAAAACACTGGAGTTCAGGGAGCCCAAGGATGTGCTACTCCCTGGTTCCTCCAAAGATGCTTGGGAAGAAAGAGACATACAGCAGGGAGGCGACTTCATCCTGTAGCTGCCAGGAGCAGCCCACACTCTACTGGATCAAAACCACAGCAAGGCTTCAGAGAAGGCTGCCCCGCCAGGCTGGGAACGCGTCCCTCGGCTCTGG